CTTTGCCACTAAAGCGGCGCTATACCTGAACACTTCGTATTCTGAAGTCACGAGATGTTTTCTATTTTCATGGGTACAAAATAAAAGGTATTGAAGTGCGGGAATCGATAATCTACAGAATTCAATAGTATGTAATGGAACGGCGACTATCTTTTCAACCAATAAATTTATGAAGATGTTGTCATCCGTTAATGGTATCGTATCAACGACTTTAGTTAACATCTCTGGCAAATAATTTTCATCATTCTTTTTAATAGCATTTATGATTAAAGCTTGAAGGTCTGGTAACTGAAAAAAATCTGCAGAATTAAAAGCTTCAATCAAATTATTTTTGGATAAAGATTCATCCTTGACCATTCCCGTATAAATAAATTCCAATACAACTTCCATCGTAGAACTAATGATTTTTGGAAAGGAGATCTGCCTTTGATGACTTTCTCTCATTCCATTGTAAAGTAGGTTTTCAAATACATCGGATCGTGCCGCCAAAATCGATCTAGTTCCGTATAATATAATTTCATCCTCGCATAAAATTTCTACATCGCTGTACTTTGGGTTATTAATTAATAACCTAAAATCTTGGCTTAATGAATTTCCTCTCGACATTTGTCAAGAAAATATATTGGAACGGGATGATTTAATCGTGTTGGTAAGGAAAAATTTGAACTAGGTATTTTAAAAGTACTCGGTAAAATATTTATCGGCACGTATATTTATATCAAAATGACATTTCTATATTTGGGAATAAATACATTTCTTAAAAAAGGTTTCGATCGACCTTTTTGTTTCCAAAAAATGATAATGTCACAACACAGCAATTTAACAATTATTAATATATCACGAAAAAAAAATTAAACTTATTTACTTTCATCTACTGTAATTATTTAATAAAGTTTAAAAATGTCGTTATCAAGCTAGTAGATTCGACCATACATTTTTTAGTAAAAAGAAAAAAAAAAAAAAATGAAAAAAAAAAATTGAATAAATATCAAAAAAGATAAATAAGTACTTTTATATGTTAAAGAAAAGAACGAATGAATACAAATTGGGGCAAATCAATGCTTTAGTAGAATGTCAAATCTACCGAAAATCACTTTAAAAAAGTAAAGCTATTCAAAAAAAGTAGATCCTCAAAAAGGGAAAGTTATTTGATTGACGCAACAAGTTATCGCCAACGCGCAAATGTACTCAGATGACCTTTAAAATCCTTATACAGTGCTAAATAAACTTATCTTGCTGCAATTAATAATATGGCTAAAATATTCATTTATCAGGAAATTGATTCATTTTTAAGAATTTTCTTCACATAATCACGTACTCGAGAGTTTTCAACTTAAAAACATCAAACCTGACTGCATAATAATTCAAATTTTATTATATGTTATCGCGGCTTATACAATTAGAATTGTCGTTACTCATAAAATTCAATCGATTAAACAGAAATCTTTATACTTCGACCAGAGCCTTTTAATTAATCGAACAAGTAGGGAACTTAATTTACAGGAACATGTTATGCAAAGACACGATTCCATTTTTTTGTTCTACGGATGTGAAAATAGCTTTTTATAAATAATTACATGAGCGAGAAGTAAAATAAATACTTCAATAAAAAATATGAGAGATTCTTCGTTGCGTTCTTGGAAAATTGATGTTAAGTTCCTGTCGACGATATTTGTCTGGGATTTAATCTAAAAATTTCAAGGAAGAATTTTTTTGAGTTGATAATACATTATGTGAGAAAATCGATTGTCGCACATTTTTAAAAGGCACGTTGTCACACGATCACTGAGTGGCATCCTCATTAATATGATTAAATGTAGTAATGAGAGAAACTTACGTGGTTACACTTTTCAATAATGGATTCTTCGTTGCCGTCTTGGCCAAGTCTTTAGTAAAGACTCGTTGTCACCTGATCACCAACGTTGAGGTGCAGCAACTTCGATCAGGGGCCCTATAAAAAGAAGAATCAAAACTTTATTAAGTAATTATTGAAGAAACGAAAATTAAAAGAGCAATAATGAAATCGAGTTATTATTTATTCGGCTGTTCTACGCGAAATCCTTCGGTTGTCAACGATGGGAAGCGTAATAATAATGATAAATAACAATGATAATAATGATAATAATTTATAAATACAACGTAAAAAATACAAATAGAAAGTTTAGGTTTTGTTGTTCGACAAACGAGGGATAAGAAAACTAGCTATCTCACAGCTCAACATAGGTGTACATCCCTTTCTTCTAAAAGCAACAGCCAACCCTAGCTATCGCGATTAAACGGTACCGTAGCGCCCTATGCCCATCATCGACGTGAGAAGATCTCCCAAAAAAATGGGTATGGGCGGTGCGATGTTTTATTATTGTTTTCTTTCCTCTGAAATTTGTAAGTCGGCTCGCAAACGGGAGGTTTGCTATTAAATTCACGTTACGGATCATATGATTACGTGCCTCGATTTTAATAGCAAACCTCCCATATGCTACCGTCTCGTCAAAATTTCAATACTAATATATAATTATAGTACTTAATAAAAATACAAGTAAGAAGATAAAGAAAGAAAAAAAAAACAAAAAATAAATAAATAAATAATAATAATAATAATAATAATAAAAAAAAAATAAAATAAAAAAAAAATTGATAGAATCGTTCATGAAGACTGTACAAACATTGATTTTGTGAAAACCGATTGCTAATCTATGCCTAATCACGCCAAAAGAATCGTGTAGCATACTTTATTTATTATACAACAATATACTTTGTGATACGCGTTAAAGAGGTTCAACTTCAAGATCTCTTTACGAATTGCCGATAGAACTTTGTTCCGCTTTGAATAATTCATGGTTATATACGTAGAAAATGATTCATTCTAGCAACAAATTGTATTTTGTGAAACATCACTTTTCACATTTGTAGAAAAAATCGTTCATTACAAAAAGCTTTTTATTTTTATTTTTTTTTTATTTCCAGTATCTATGAATTTGGAAATAATTAATGGTGTTGAATATTTGTTCGGTTTAAAAATAGGACAGGTCACATGTTGAATTTAACTTACAAACGGACTTCCTTTCCTCAAAGAAAATACAAAATTCGAAAATTTAGGTGAAAGTAGTGATATAGAAAATTTTGATTTTATTATGAAGACTGTTAAGTTGATTAATTCGCTTTTTTTTTTTTTTTTTTATTTTATTATAGTACACAAACATAGAATAATCACCAGTTGGAAAATTGTTAATTCAGAAAGATGATAATTGGAGCCTTTAATGACTTTGAACGAATCATTGAAATGTTCCAACCGAGATAATTTATATTTATCAACGAAAAAGAAAAGATCAAGCAAGTTCGAATGATAATTTGTCATGATAATAACGTATAAAACGAACGGTTCGAAATATTAAAACAGTTTGCGTGCAAAAAAAAATACATATATAAACTTCAGATTATATATGTAGATTATTATTATAAATTTTTATTTTTCATCTATAAGGTTACTTTGAAATTTACAGTACATAATGCTAAAAAAAATATCCAACAGAATATTGAAAATATCTTTTTTTTTTTTAATTTTTATTATTTGTCATGAAAATAATAGTCATGAGTGCTATCTAATGATATTGATCGGTTCTTCCTGTTGACATTTGATAGAGACCCATGTTATGTTCGTTATCGGATTAAAATTAAATTAACCTTTCTGGAAGACAAACTTGCATCATATGAAACATGATGTCATCTTGTTGTCTACGGTAAGGACGCCTGCATAATTAATTAATATTTGAGATGCTACATGTGAATAGTGAATAGCTCCATACGATTGATCCTCATTGGAGCAGCCGAACTTGTATAAGTAACGCATGTCGCTTATACGACACAAAAAAAAAAATAAAATGAAATAAAAAAAAATCTTTGCAACGCATATTCTATTAGCTCGATGTCTCGATTGGACTTATACGATGTTCGTGAATAAAATCAATGAATTTATTAACGTATTTGTGGCACAGAAACATCAGGCAGGCTAGGAAAGGTCCGAGCCGCCGACTACAAACACTCTTCTAAATCCTACATTGTGTAAATACGAAATACGATCTCTGAAATCTTTCATGAATTATAAATTTTGGTGAGATCATAATTATATATAGATTACCCTTAAATATAATATTGCGTTGTAATACATTGATATATCGATCAATTTGTGTAAGATAAAAGGGGATAGGGATTTTCCCTAAAAAGAACTAATGCATATATAATAAAATAAAATCGATTATCATTATTCCTTTTTTTCGATTTTGTAGATAAAGAAAAATTCTGCTCTGACCTTTCAATCTTTTGGTTCGCGTGCCGGTGATCTCCTAAATCCCCTTCATCCTACCGAATTGAACACGTGAGCGGTAATTGTGTGATTTTTTTTTTTATTACATACTGCACGGAGTTTATGCTAAAATTTCCGTTTCCAAAAAATATAAATAAATGACAAAAAGCGGATGATCAGTAAACATTATTTTTTTTTTTCTATTTTTTTTTTCTTTTTCCACTTTTCATCTTCCTTTTTATAATTTTTCTCACACATGGCATGTTCAAAATTATTTTCTGGAGATTTGCCGGAACTGACATACCATATTATAAGATATTTAGGAAATGACCTGAGGTGTCTTCATTCATGCGTTTTGGTTAACCGGTTTTGGTGTCGTCTCGCTATTCCCAAACTTTGGGAGGATCCTTTTTCCACCTCGTGGCGAGTCAACTTTTGTCATCATTTCCTTGATATTTACTTTTTGTTATTGAGCGATGAAGATAAAACGAGGGAAAAGGAGTTTGGAAAATACAAAATCGATCATCGAATGAATTCATTTTCATTTAACCCATTATTCAATTATCCAATTTATATTAAAACTTTGAATACTTATCAATTACAATTACACGTTATCAATTGGTTGGCTTATCTTGAACAAACTTCAAATGAACCCTTTGTCATTCAAAATGATAACCCTTACCCTTACCTTTCTTTAATCATGACACACGATAAATCAACGGCGAATTTGGATATCAAGGAGAAATCATTGAAATCAAGGGGGATGATAAGCGTCCTTTGCGTTTTATTATTCAAATTATTTATCACGAACGGAGCTTCTTTAAACGATTTAAATATAAACATTTGTCGTAACGTTGAATATTACTTCATCGAAGTATATACGCTAATATTGAAGAATCCAAATTTTG